GGAAGTCGATGTATAGTTGTAGATTGATCGAATTCGATGAAAAAGCATGGCAAATTGGAAGAAACAGCACGTTTTAGTTGATCAAATGGAAGTGATTTTCGTTGTTGCTCGTTAGTTATTATTGCTTGTTTCCTTTGTATGTATGCATTTGTGCTTGGTTTGTGTTGCTTCTGTGCTGAACTGATTGATCCATCGCTCTCGTTGAGCGGTCGACTACGTTTTGGAGTTGATGATTTATGTTGAAAGCTTGTTTTAATATTTAAAATTGACGGAATTTGTTGTTGCTCTTGGTTTATTTGATCGTTGTAAGTATGCTGAAACGACTGTTGTGCACTACGAGCTCGAGTAAATTCAAGAAACTGATAAAAATCATTCAACATGTTGGGGTTTTGTGCTAGTGAACGAAGAAGACCTTCTCGCTGTTCTATAGTGTTGCTATCATAGTAAATTGGTGGTTGAAAACATTGTTGCTGTTGTGATTCCCCCATTTCAGATTCACCAGTAATGAGATGAGTGGATCGAACGAGATTGTTTACTTCGGCTGATTGAATTTGAATAGAGGACATTTAGTGCTCCTCTGCTACTGCAGGGGAACTTACAAGATAGATGGGTATGTAAGAGAACCGTAAGGAATGCGACTGTTCTCGACGAAGGCAGATAAAGAAGTGATTCTTGAGTATTGCTATCATTTCATTTAGATTGATTAAAAGATCATCGTAAATACTAATTAATGGTTTGAATTGAATGATTAATTTGATTTTGTCATTATCTTCACCAATTCGATCAAGCGTTTCTATAGCAATAACTAAATACTTTTTTCGAAATTCTCCGGGTGCATGAAATGATAATCTTATCGATGCGATCATTCGATTATGAAAACCATCAATATTGTCAAATGTTACAATTAATTCGTCAAGAATTTCTTGAATGAATAGTTTGCGATCTACTTCCTTATAATGAACAATGTTAAAAATCTTTTCCAATACTTGAAATTTTAAAGTTGGTTCTTGAATATTTTTTCATTTAGCAATTTGTAACTTTTTTCATCATAAAATTTAGCTAATTGATATAATGCTCTTGATTTATAATAAGGATTGCACATAGATTGAATTCTTTGAAACAAAAATTCTTTTACATCTGACTGTTCAGCTAATTCAGGCACTAAATTTCCGTAAATCTTAAATCAATCACTGTCTTTCGAAATAATTCCAAATTGTAACAATACAACTAATGGAATTAATTCTGGATTTTTATTGAAATACTCTTTCTTACAGAATGTCTCAAAAACGGTATCCACTAAGTATGCTATATTCGTATTGATGGGTGTGAATGTAGTTGTTGGTTAAGAGGATATTTACAGTGACTCCTACCTACCCACACCCACACCGCACTCAAACCCTTCTCTGCTGTCTGACATCATACCACTTCAAGGCGATCTCTGGGCGATTTCAGGGTTTTGCTGAAAAATTCTCCAAAGAATCTTTTTCTGAGACAAAATACTGCGTTATTAGCTTCAGTATTTATACGGATTGTTCTGATACAATAATGCACGCAGTAATATAGTTCACAGACTCGAGTCGAGAAGGAAAAAATAACATCACAAGCAACAAACAATTCGCCAAGAACAAGAAAAAAAGTCATGATATTTGATTGAATGCATCTATCATCATACATACAATGCACAAAAATAAGAAAAATGAAGCACGAATACAGGATGAATTGGATCTGGAAGCAAATATTCACGTATAAATTCTAAAAAAGCCAATAAAATTAGCGTCAATTCGATTAATATATGTCGTTGGTCGTGGATGATAATGCGTGAAACTTGTCATTTGAAGATTATTGTAATAACAAAAATAAACGAAAAACAAGAACATGTTTCTACCAATCCTTTGTATATCGCATATCACATTCTTCTAAAGTTGGTAGTTTTTCCTAAAATGATTCAGTAGTTCTGTTTGAATAGAATGTTTATATATTCAAATTTATACTTTTAAAGCTTGAATCGCTAAAGTAGATAAATTTGTTGAATTTAAATAAAGTTTTCGTAACATTTTCATCTCTATAAATATCCAAATAAACAGCAAGGAAAGAGTTTTAAAAAGCAAAAATCATAACTTTACTTGCTAAATAAGTAAGTCCTTTATCCGTCACTGATGTTTCGCTTAAATTAAGTACTTCTAATTGATTTAAATGTTGGGAAATTAATTCTAAACCAGCATCACCAAACTAAAATAAAAAAATATTTAATAATACCAGTTTTGAATGAAAATTTTCATTATCCAACTGACTCGTGTTGACCATAAATTTATATATTTTAATGCTGGTAATTTAATTAAATGTTCAGCACAAGCACTTGTGACATTCGTAAATGCTAAGCTTAAAGATTCAAGATTACCAAATGGACCTGATGATAATAAGCTTGCGAAATCATTATCAGTCCAACATGATGGTAATGTTAAGTCTCTTGGTCCATCTTTCTGTTGTAATGCTTGTAATGCTCTCTGTCTTTCACATACTTTTGCATACATTTTTAACCCACTTGGCATCGATTCCAGTGTTGATATTAATTGTAACTTATTATCATGATTTTCAACTGCATCCAAATCAAGCATTGCACATAAAGTCTGAATGAATTTTTTTTTCTATTTTCCGAATATTCAATAATTTAATACTTACATTTAATGAACTTTCACTTTCATGTAATGCAAGTAACATTAAAGATGGTAATAATTTATTAATACTTAATAAGAAATCTTTTTGACGACAACAACATGAAATTAATTTACTAAGCTAAAAAATCCAAAGAAGAAAGAAAGGAAATGTTCTTTTATATTAAAAAATTTTCTTTACCATTAATGAAAACATTTCACCATTATCATCACAAACAATACCATCCAAACAAAACATTTCAAACCATCCGTCTTTACCTTCACGAATACCTAACACTGTTCGATGAACTTCACATCGTGTATCTTCAACAAGATTCTTAACCACATTTTTGAATAATCTATTTTAAATAAACACAAATAACATAGAAACTATTTCATTTGAAGAAAAATTTATATATTGCTTAATGAAACGATCATGTTTTAGTGCTTCATCCTGGAAAGGAACAGGTTGTAGAACCAAGCCAAGATGACGTCGCCAGTCATCAAATGTGGATCTATATTAAAAGAAAAATTCAGTGTTATTATGCTTATGATCGTTAAAGCAATTCTCTACATCTATGTCGTATACTGAAAACCAATAGCTTGACCAAGAATCTGTATAATAAACTGCAATCTACTAAAGCTATACGCAGTACTTTCCGAAGAAAATTTCATTTATGACAGATGGTAAAAATGCTCCGTACTCTGCTACTATATAAACCCCTTACTACTGTTAATAATGTCTTATTTAACTGCCATATTTGACCACAAATGGCCATGTATGGCACAGTTACGGAGATAATTGCGGATAGCTGTAACCATCGTCCTGAGGTAAACTACTTGATATAGCGTGCACTATGGAGACAGTAGTGACAAAAACACGACAATCAATCCTCGTTTATTTCATAAATATGACCAGGTGGCTACACCATCCTATTTTAGTACACCCATAGTCGTTCTCTAAGTGACAATCTATTTCCATTACTATGAGCAAATATGCAGCAGGAACCTTAAGATTTAAGCTGTTTTATGCAGAATTAATCATGCATTTCGTGCTTACATTGTTTGTAAAATTTTCATATAATATATTAATTGACTTTCAGTCTTTGCTTCATGTGCTCGAGAGCTTTCGTTATCTTCAAAGCGAAACCTATTTAATAAAAATGAATATATATATAAGTTATACGAAAATAAAAAAATTCAAATATTCACTTTTTCCGATCTTCAAAAAAAGTATGAATTCCAGCAAAACAAACAGAGATTAAATTTGAGGGAACACGCAGAAATGGGCAAACCATTGTTGGACCATGCATCCTATGATAAATAAAAGAATAATTTTTCTTATAAATATTTCGTTACCGTTTAATAAAATCTTCTACAACAAGTAAACCATCATTCTGAGAATTAAGCGCAAGAAAATATTCTTGAAGCAGTAATTTTATTCGTGGATATGCACTAAAATTCTTTAAAAAAATAATCATAATTCTTTTTTGTTTTCAATCTTAATCATTAAATTTAACTACATTATGTTTTAAAATTCTCTGAACAGTCGGTGTAAACATTTCGATTACAATTTGAGAGCGTGGACTATCACGACAGTGCTAAACCAAAAAGAAAAATACATGATGAATATATATAAGCTATTCATACTCGACTAAAAAAATCACACATTTCTGGTGATGGATAATTTATTTCAAGTAATGGTGATAGTGCTGCAATCACATCCTCACGGACCAAACGTGATGAATCAAATTCTTGCTGTAAAAAAGCAATTATACAAAGATTTTAAATTAAAGCACAAAATAAAAGAGCATTTCTTTTCACTTGTTGCAGAATTTCAGAAATAATGTCAAGTACAAAAGGATGAATTTCACTATCTTCAATTGGTGTTGTCATTGTTATATTGATCATATTCTAATAATGAAAAAGCAATAGAGCAACCTACATGCATATTTTTAATAAAAAATAAATTACCCTAATTTCTTTTAATAGTTCTTCTGGATTATCAGCTGAACGGAAAATATGTTCAAATTTAAATTTATTTAGCTATTAAAATAAGATATAATATAAAAGAATTCAAAGGAATATTAATAATAACATACTCTCCATTGTATGGAATAGAACAACTGGTCTCTTAAATCAAGTGTATTAACCTAAAATAAGAAAAGAAAAACATATTTGGTAGTCATTCAAAATTTTTTCTCGGAACAAAATAGTTTTTTTGTTACTCGAAAAAAATAATTATGATTATTCGTAACAATTCTTATACCAAATCGGTCATGCCAACAAATTAATTTGGATTTCGACCATACAGATATATTTTCAATGATTGAATAAGCTATTGACTTATCCATATATTGTTGATTCTATAGAATAATAAATAAGAAACTTCTATTATCTATATACATATATGTATAATTATATAAAAACAAACTTTTGTTGAAGTTATTTCACTTTGGTCAAAATTAATATGATGATTTTTCCAACGCCGAAAAAAATGTATTTTTTCTATATTATTTTTGACACGACGTACGCGACGCATTTGAACATCACAATCACTTAATAATTTATAACACTGTTCAATACGACGTCCATTACTAGGTATACCATGTGTTTCAGCTGTTGTTGCACTTGCAGTAATTTCAGTTCCATTTGATGGTGATAACAAGCTTATACTGTCGTTGTGTTTTGTGGAATAATAATAGCCACGGTTATGTCCAGCATATGACGAAAAAGAACTGATTGCATTGCTCTGGTATGCAGATCTTAATTGATCTTCCATTTTATTATTTATGTTTATTAAGTAAATTTAATTTTATGATTGATTAACTTCTTGTAATAGATTAGCTAATAATGGTGCGTAAGAAGATATCAGAGGTATTTTGATTGTGTACTACTGTATTTGAGTTGATTTTATCTGAAAAAAAAACAGAATTAAAGTTACCTATCAGTGTAGTAGGCTGTACTTTGACCTCATCAAGCAACCAGATAAGCTAAAATCTGGAAGTACGATATTTGTTGATGTAAACAAATATGGAAAAGTCAAATGTAAGTTTAATAAAGAGTGTGTGCCAGTGTTGCAACTCGTCGGGTTTTTGTTTACCAGTAACGGTATGGGTCTAAACTAGTCAGACCAGACCTTACAGGCCAGTAGATTGACATGGATTATTTTTCATTTTTCTCTCCTTGTAACAGTCAAATCAACCTTTCTGGTAGTCACATCTATCTCTGAATCACTAGTCTAACTAAGTTAGACTGCTCCCTCACTAATATAGTGCTTTTCTAAATGTAAGGGAAGTTAGCGCCATATTCGAGTTTTTTGCGAAACGATTCGTCCCATCGATTGTGCCACTTAGGAAATCTAGTGTGCCAGATAGAACTCGTCGAGCTCTATCTAAAGGTATATTCAGAAATTGCGAACACACGAAAACAAGAGAAATATGCATCAATATATGATTTATCACCATTGGACAAAATACTCACATTTCATATTTCCCAAAATTATTCACTACCTCGCGTGTGCCAGTGGTAAAAATCATATCATTAGATGCAGCTCGATGAGTTCTATTTGATGATGGCTTGAAATAGCTTATTTTCAAAACTCATGAGCCCAAAGTTCCAAAAAACCTGTCAAAATCGGGAATTTACTAGTATTTTGTCTGACGATTCGTCTGATTGTGTGTGCCAACGATAAAATCTGGTGAATTCGATGTAGATTAACGAGCTCTATCGATTGATATGCTACTTGATATATATTAAAGTACTAAAAGAGGAATTATACTCTCAAGTTTAGTCATGGTACATTGATCATGTATGTTCTCTTTCTTAGATTCGATCCCATACATGTGCCACTGGAAAACATTATGCAAGTCGATGTAATATATTAAGACCTATCGATTGACGTATAGTTTTGTATAAAAAATAAGAATA